AGATAATTTTCTGTAATCGTCAACTAATACAACAGGCCCTCGAATTGGTGGTAAATCATCCCGTCCCATTCGTTGATATATAAGACGAGTCGCTAATGGATTCTGAGGTAAAGATTTAGCATAACCATCATCATCATATAATATAGCAAGATCATAATTATCCAAGTCGCAAATGGTAATATGCTGATTATTGGTACATTCTAGTAGGCGACAGATTTCTTCACTAGTATTATTAATTCTTTTTACTTCCGGAGGACCATTTACAGGAATATATATTCCACGATATATTGTCATGACAGATTGATTCGGTAAAATTTTAATCTTAATACCATCCTCAAATTTAATTTTAAATATGAAAGTGAGAATAGAATAATATAACCACTTTGCGATTACAAATCGAAAATGCCTTGTAATTGGTTATTAGTCGGGGATATCCATTTCTGCAAGACCCCAGCAAAAGGGCAATATTGCGCTACCCATGCATTCAAAATTCGAAAGGGTGTAATAATTCCCCAACCATGTAAAGGATGTGGTTGAGGGACTAAATCGAGTCTTCAGCTTTGTGTTCCGTGTGGACAAGGTAGGGAAAGAGCGTATAAATATTATAAACAGAAAAATAACCAATTAAACTTATCATTTACATAAGTAACAATCAACTATTATCATTTTCATAACTATATACCACATTGATACTATAGACAATAATGTATACCAAAGAGCCGGAATATAACAAAGAAACGATTACCTCAGATGAGTTATTCAAATTAGCTAGGCAATCGAAAAAACCAAAAATATATAACCCAAAAACTAATAGTATGATTGCAATCAATGGGCCCGCATATAATCAATTGTTATGCGATGATTATATACATTGGAGAGAAGAAAGACTTTTGATTCCGCCATTCAATGAAATGCCAATACTAAGAAAATGTCTATCTTTTGCATCTAATAAAATTTGGAATATTGTTGCAGAAAAAAGTCTTCTTACAAAAATCGATGGGAAATTAACCTTATTAGACATTCTACTCAAAGCAAACTGGAATGAACTCGTTATATGCAATTTGTTAAAATTTGGCTGGGATGGTAAAGAAACAAGAGAATGGCGAGATAATATCCTCATGAAATTCCTCCATTATCCAAATTTGATTCCTTCTAAACATAGACCAAACGCTCTATACGATGCATTTATAAAGACCAATGTTTTAGGGCCAGATCATATACTTGCTCTTGCACGAGCATTATAAAAAATAAAATACTATACATCATTGATTATAGCCTGAGTCGGCACAACTCGAAGCTATAAATTTTTTTCGTTATATCTATATATTGGTAAATTTCAAATCGACAGATTCGATCCGGCCAATTTTTTCCAAATATCGGGTGGCGATACCCAGATTTAAATACCTTATTTTAATATATAATTCAATTTCCTTGATGGTTGCACAGGCAATATTACAATTGGAAATGTCGAGCTGTTGGATCTTTGGACAAGAATGAATAACATTCCAAATCGTTATTTCAGAGAATTCTTTACGATTAGAAATATTCAGATATTCTAATTTATGGCATTATGCAATGAATATATACATTGGAGAGAAGAAAGACTTTTGATTCCGCCATTCAATGAAATGCCAATACTAAGAAAATGTCTATCTTTTGCATCTAATAAAATTTGGAATATTGTTGCAGAAAAAAGTCTTCTTACAAAAATCGATGGGAAATTAACCTTATTAGACATTCTACTCAAAGCAAACTGGAATGAACTCGTTATATGCAATTTGTTAAAATTTGGCTGGGATGGTAAAGAAACAAGAGAATGGCGAGATAATATCCTCATGAAATTCCTCCATTATCCAAATTTGATTCCTTCTAAACATAGACCAAACGCTCTATACGATGCATTTATAAAGACCAATGTTTTAGGGCCAGATCATATACTTGCTCTTGCACGAGCATTATAAAAAATAAAATACTATACATCATTGATTATAGCCTGAGTCGGCACAACTCGAAGCTATAAATTTTTTTCGTTATATCTATATATTGGTAAATTTCAAATCGACAGATTCGATCCGGCCAATTTTTTCCAAATATCGGGTGGCGATACCCAGATTTAAATACCTTATTTTAATATATAATTCAATTTCCTTGATGGTTGCACAGGCAATATTACAATTGGAAATGTCGAGCTGTTGGATCTTTGGACAAGAATGAATAACATTCCAAATCGTTATTTCAGAGAATTCTTTACGATTAGAAATATTCAGATATTCTAATTTATGGCATGAATTTGCAATTGCATGTAGACCTTTATCAGTTATTAATCCTTTATCAGTTATTAATCCATTATAACACCCCTTTGTCAAGTTGAGATATTTCAGATTGGGATATGATTCTGCTATTTGATTTAATGTTTTATCACCGAATCCCACATTATAATATAAATCTAAATAAACTATATTTGGGAACAGAACCGCAATGTTTTTGAATTTTTTATCTGAAAGTGAGTGGTAGTGTGGAATGTCCAGATGGGTTACATTCAAACAATAAACTGGCTTATGCCCACCACGTATTATTTTCATAAAAATTTTTCGTATATTCCTCTTATTTAGCTCAATTCGTTTCCATAGAATAGGAGCACCACATCTGTACCACAATCGGGAAACATATAGAGCGGGATAGAGGGATTTATCTATCAATAAGAAATATAAAATCTGTTCTAATACTTCAGGTATACTAAAAATTCTTGAATGTGTCATAAATAATATTTGTATTAAAAATGCAAAGAACGATTTAAATTTCAAATCAATACTCCGGTTACCCTATAGGTAGACATATACTCTCGAGCATGGGAGAAAAAAGCATAATTAATTTCGATTTGAAAAAATATTTTCCATAGTTATAATCCACAAAACTATCCCATTAACATCATGTCGAGAGTTGCAACATTATATATAGATTATTATAATTTAACCCCCAAAATGAGCATAGCTGAACTAGGTAATTATGCTGAAGAATTGGTTAAAAATTTGAAAGATGCAAAGGCCCGTGATCATGCATGAAATCGGATCCAGAAATTAGGATTTAGTAAAGATCAAACATATGCTTTAATTCCTGTCCAAACTTCTGGAAGATGCGTTACAGGTAGGGAATCAGTTAAAAAACTTGCTTTGTATATTAAGGAGAATGAAGGTAATCTTGAAGCTGAAGAAATAAATGAATTGGCTCGTAATTTAGCAAAAACTGGCCCTACAGAAATAGCCCAATCTTCACTTCTTAAATTGCTTCGAAAAGAATTACGCCAACTCAATGCCAATTACATTACATTAGAAGCAATATATGACCCAGAGATTAGTCATGCATCAAATAAAGAACAAGAGAGAAGACAAGAGCTTCATGAAGATGAAGGATACAATTGTCCTGAATTCTTTACTCTAGAAAAAGTACAGGGACGACTTCAAAAATGTGACACAGCTAATCCTCCTACAATACAAAATTTAATCGATATAATGGTAATGCTTTGTATGAGGCCAGCAGATGTGAGAAATCTTCATATAGACCAGTATAATTCAAATAATGCAGAATGGTATGATCCTAAATATTCTTGGTACTGCACTGGCTATGCCAAAAATAAAGATGATGAGCCTAGGCCACTTGTATCAATGGAGAAAGACCCACTACGGGCTAGAGAATTACTTATTTGGATCCAAAAATCAATTCCCCAAAAATTCCCATTTCTAATAAAAGATAAAGATGGTGATGTGAATGTCCATCCGATTAATAACTTTTTAATCCCCTATGGCATTAGTTCATCATATTTAAGAAAAATAGGTTCCGATCATGCTATTATAATCCACGAAGGTAAGACTCGCTCTAAATGTAACCGTATTTGTAAATTAGCATTAAGGCACAAAATAAATCGAGAAGCATCAGATCATTATGGTATAATGAATAGCAGACCGAATACTCCAGCACCTAAACAAGAAAATGAAGTCGAGGATATCATCGATTTGTATGGAGAAATTTCTGATGATGAAGACTAATCACGCTTCAGACCCAGATGAAGACCAGGTCCTTTAGAGACTGCTCTTTGAGTCGTATATCAGATGAAACTGATTTTATTTCTGCAATTAGTAATTATTAGCTGTTTTTTTTCGATTAAAGATATATAATATACAACTTGAGAATGGCACAACTATTGCGGAACAATGACCCAAAGGGTCTAAATATTTTTGATTTACCAGAATTACTAGAACAGATCTTATATTTTTTAGAAATCAATCAATCCCTCTATCCCGCTTTATTCGTCAACCACTTTTGGTATCACTGCGGTGCTCCTATTCTATGGCGTCGCATTGAGTTTTTTACAGAAAAAGATTATCAGAGAGGTCGGCATGGTCGTAAGATGCCTCGAGTTCTTACTCGGCAATTGATAAACTTTGAAAGAGTTATATGTAGAAAAATAAAGCCACTCTATTGCGCCAAGATGATATATCTCAGATTAGAAGGTTTAAAAATCTCAGATGTATTGATTAGTACGATTCTACGCTCGTGTCCAGGTATACGCACTCTTATTCTTGATAAAAGTAAGGGTTTCTCTAACATACCAATTATAGAAATTGCGAGGTATTGCCCAAAGCTATTACACCTGAGTCTTAATTCACGTATATGCCTTACTAATCGATGTATCACTGAAATAGCGCGTTCTTGTCCAAAACTTAGACATCTTGAGCTTGGTAATTGTTCGATTGGTAATGAAACTATCGAGGAAATAGCCCGCAACTGTACTAATTTGAAATATCTTAGTTTGGAAGATGTAATGGGATTAGCGAAGGAGTGATGAAAAAACTTGATTCAAAAATTAAAATCGAACATCCAGATTATTCTGATGATGAATTTTCAGATTCAGATCTACCTCCACTTGTTCCAGTCTTTGCAGGTCCAATAGATAGAACAGATTTAATTTCTGCAATCAATGATTTAATCAGAGAATTGGTTCTATGGTCGAAAATATAATGATGGTGAACTCCAAACATACATACCCGAAATTGTGACCGACACAGAGGACGCCTGGGTGAGAACTACCCTACGTATCAAGGATCTTAAAACCAAGAAAGGGGGGAGGGTTATAGTATCTGTTAATAAAATAATTAATGATGTACATAACTTTACTTCTGACTCCGATACTTCTTCCGATAACGATTCAGGTAATTCTTCCACATCTAGTTAGGAAATAGAAGTTACACATATGCAAAAGAAACGCCCCATTCTAAAGCGTAAAGTAAAGAGTAAAGTTAATTATCGAGCTTTGTAGTGGAGCTAGTATCCTGACATATGTAGAAAACTTCTATGCCTGGCTGAAAATTTGTACGAATTGAGTATGGATTTCTTCCCATTCTTTCATCAGATCGTCTAGCCATGAAGTACTTAAACCACTCTTTAGTATACTGTGACGTAATAACTCTTCACCAACCAGCCTATCCCGATCTGTTAAAAATTTACGATATTTTCTGGTATCTTCCTGCCTTTCTATTCCACCACGGTAAAAGCGTATATCTCTCTCCAAGTCTTCACGGAAGCATCCCATAGTCCACCTGTTTTTCTCAGCCTCAGTAATGACAGAAAATTTCTCGGGATCAAGGTCATTTTCAACAGCATATTGATAAAGGCGGGTTTTGTTTGGATGAATTGGTGAGTTACTAATTTTGTTTGGTACCCTTATTTGAATTTCTGGTAAGTTCTGTACAGCAATAATAACTTTCTTTTGATCGATACGAAAAGGACAATTAAGAAAATAGTGATCATTTTTACCGAGACAGCTCCAATCGCCCCATATACCTCGACTTGTATGTACCTCTTTACATACAGGACATTTAGCTTCTGAATCGGTATATTTAAATACATCCCGGTGCCATGCATTTGAATTAGTATATAATAGAAAAGGAAAATGCTTATGTACAGTTTCAATGATCACATTTTTTTCTTCCGGGAACTTGGAAATTTTGATAATGTAATCCTGTGAGATGTAATTACCTTCAATTTTAGGAGATTTAGGAGTTTCAGAAGTTTCAGAATTTATCCAAGGATCAAGACCAGTTTTATTTTTATATCTTTTATATAACTTGAGACGAATTTTATCCGTCAAAATGTTCGGTAACTCTGTTAATTTAGCTTCCCACTCCAAATATTCGGGAGTTAATGTTTTATTGGCCTTTTCTTGTGTATTCATGTTTCCATTTTATATAATACATATCTCTTTAAATTAGAGCGAAGCTCATTGTTTCACAATACAATAACTAACAAAAAAATAAATATACCCAGAAAGGTCATAAAGACTTTAGCCAATTGCATTAGCATAAGATAAAGCTCATGCTGTTATCTCGATTTCAATTCCACGTTGTTCACATTTAATATAATAAGATGATGCAGAGCATCGAATCTCCGATTCTCCAATTTCATATCTGCCTTCTATACCACTATCATCATCATGATCTAACTTGCATAGTGGGCACGAAGATTCATCAGTAATTCCATAATAATCGACATTTCCATCACTACCTTCTCAACATAAATTAGGATATTGTTTTAATGTTTTATTACGAAAATAAGCATGGTCACGAGTTGGATTAGACGATGCACTTACCTCAGTTTCCGGTAATTTTTCTGAATCATTTGAGATAGATGGTTCAATCACGTGTGCATTCTTTTTTGGAAAACGATTTATAATATTTTGAATTTGAATATCTTTTAGACTTGAAATAGCACTTGCACTATAGGTTACTTGCCTGATTCTATCCATCCCAATTCCTTCAAACAATATATAGATTTTTTTAGCTCTAAAAGTTATTTTACGCAAGTTTACATCAGTAATGTCAGGTAGAAGTGATTTGATTTCATTATATACCGATGTCCTTGCAGATTTATCGTCAATTTTTTCTATAGACCTAATATTCCCGATTCTATCCTCATATGTTTTATAATAACAATACCAGTATAAAATCTCCTTTTGTCTAACCTTCATTGCTATATTAAATAAATCAGCTATATTTTGTGCCGTAACTCTACTAGATTCTGTTAGAATTACTTCTAAAGATAATTCAGGAATTTGAATATCAAATGGTTTATCGGATGAAAGTCCGTGTATTGCGTTATTTTCGATATCATTGTCTTCGGCACAAACAGATAACTCATGCATTAGGCCTTGTTCTACTTTCTGATTATAAGGAATTTTCTGATCAATGGACACTTGCTCCGATTCAGCAGAAGTTTGAGATGAGTCTCCAACCTTAGGCTCTGCCCATTCCGATTGAATAGTTTTTTGTATTAATTTTTGATCTTGGATTTTCTTTCCCTTATTTCTCTTTCTTATTATATTACTAACTCTTTCTTTTTCTTTCCGATCCATAAAATCATCAACCACTTTATCTTCTGATGATTTAGTTTCTGTAGGGATAGGAGATGTGGAGCATCGAATTTTCAACTCCTGACATACATCAGAATTAGATGCGTTATCAGATGTATTTTCTATTTGCTCAGAAGTTTGTTCCACAGGAATAGTTTCAGGGATAATGCTAGTAGTTACACAATTATTGGTTTGCTTTTTGATTTCCTCAATAGCATGTTCTAATTCTGCAATTCTAGCGGTAAGTTTTGCTTCCCTCATCTGACTTTGTTCTAATTCTGTGATCCTAGCCATAAGTCTGGCATTCTCTTGTCTTAACAAATCTAATTCGGCTTTCATGTTCGCTAATATTTTTTTATATAAGAAATAGATATATTCAAAATATCGTAAAAAATATCACGTGCGTTCCAATTTGGAACGGAGAAAGAAAAAAATTCATGACTTCACGAATACCATTTCTTCCGAAATAAGAGGTGTATTGTTGTTAAAAAAGACCTTTCGGAGAAGCAATGCTTCGAGTCTCTGACTCAAGTGAACTCCATGCATTAAGCTTTTTTTTGACGTCAATCCAGGAAGAGAGATGGTAAAGATATTTCCGGTTGTATTAAATGTGTTTCATATTCTTCCCGCTATAATAAATATTGTAGTATAGAATATGCGTAGCATAGGCACATAGTGCCATATAACCAAAAAGTTGTTATACGATTAGCTCCGCTATTAATACACAGTAAAGAAAAACCAGAATTGAAAATTTAATAATTATCTTAGACAGGTCAGTACGCCTATTCTTCCTCATTTTCACAATTCGTGGGTTACAGATAATGGTGCTTCGTAGTAGAGAATGGGCGGAGCCCAGAGTCAGTGACTCATAAGTAATTAATTCCGATTTGATTTTTTTCTCGGTAAAAGATATAGTGTATAATAATATAATCAAAATGTTGTTTGTAAATTGCGCAGTCGAAGAGGCGGAGCCTCATTGTTACACAATAGAAAAATCTATTGAATCATTAATTGATACAGGCGCTAACGCGGATTTAATTACCCAAACATTTATTAACGAGTTGGGTTTAGTACATCATGTAAATGAAAGCAATGGCATCGAATTACAAACTCCTAGTGGATCATTTTCCGTACTAGGAAAGGTTGAACTGCAAACTAGTTTTAATGTTGATGGGAGGCACTTAAGTACCGATCCCGTTGAATTCTTGGTTGTTGGACCAGATTGGCATGGACCTGATTTAGTGTTAGGAAAGCCATGGTTGCAAAAAAATGGTGCAACGATTGATATGTGTAATAACAAACTTTCTATACATGATAATTTTGCAATCCCAATTTTCCAAAGCGGGTAATCGACGTTTCACTGAAAATCTATATATATATATTAACCACTCACACTACGTAGAATACAGAGTGTCTTTAATCTAATGTCGTGTGTTATTATGCGATCATTAGATCTTCTCTGTTTTACGAATAAATAAGAGACATCTATTGTTGTTGTATAAAAACGATTAAGCTTATTTTTTGACATCGAATTAGGGCCTGTGCGTCGTCGTATGAGATGTGCCAAAGTTTTCGATTTCACCTATCAAAATAAATCTACAAATAATTATGATCGGCGCAGGTAATAGATCGTCCATAGTAGATAAATTTTCAATGAGTCGGCCGTGTAATTCGAAAAAAACCAATGATTGTTGATAACTTTAATAGCGTGTGTCCGTAGCAGATCGACAATCAACACCAGAGAGATTCTGAAATACGTATAAAAACAGTTCGAATTTCTCAATAATTTTTCTACTTCATAACTATAACATTCGAATAAATACAATAAAAATTTGTTAAATCAAACCACGTTAATAAATAAATTAAAAACCACGTTAATAACCAAATCAATAAAACATCATCAAATTAACAAAACGTCGTAAATCAATCAAAACCATATAAAATATAAATCATATTAAATATCGTTCTTACATTTGTCAAATCAAAGGTATGTTAATACACTTGTATCTGCTATAAAATTATAGATGTAGCGCAATTGGACTAACTGATTTTTACCCATAGATGACACCAATTGAATTTTTCAAAGCTCTAGCAGAAATGCCATTAGAGAGTTATTTTCTCATCATCCCTGTCCTGATACTTATCGTAATTTTTTTCATTGGGGAAAGGTTTTTCGTGTACCTATTCATTACTGTTATATGCTTCATTCTCTATATATTTAAACAACGGATCGATATGGATCTTGATTTATTGAAGGAGAAACAAAAAAACGAATCTAATGAAGATGAAGGATACAATTGTCCTGAATTCTTTACTCTAGAAAAAGTACAGGGACGACTTCAAAAATGTGACACAGCTAATCCTCCTACAATACAAAATTTAATCGATATAATGGTAATGCTTTGTATGAGGCCAGCAGATGTGAGAAATCTTCATATAGACCAGTATAATTCAAATAATGCAGAATGGTATGATCCTAAATATTCTTGGTACTGCACTGGCTATGCCAAAAATAAAGATGATGAGCCTAGGCCACTTGTATCAATGGAGAAAGACCCACTACGGGCTAGAGAATTACTTATTTGGATCCAAAAATCAATTCCCCAAAAATTCCCATTTCTAATAAAAGATAAAGATGGTGATGTGAATGTCCATCCGATTAATAACTTTTTAATCCCCTATGGCATTAGTTCATCATATTTAAGAAAAATAGGTTCCGATCATGCTATTATAATCCACGAAGGTAAGACTCGCTCTAAATGTAACCGTATTTGTAAATTAGCATTAAGGCACAAAATAAATCGAGAAGCATCAGATCATTATGGTAT